AAAGAATTCGATCCGACCTCCCCGGGTCGGTCCCTTTTTTTGGTTTAGGGTTTAGGGTTTAGGGTTTCGGGTTTAGGGTTTAGGGTTTAGGGTTTAGGGTTTAGGGTTTAGGGTTTAGGGTTTAGGGTTTAGGGTTTAGGGTTTAGGGTTTAGGGTTTAGGGTTGATGAAAGCCTAGCACACCCTGGTCTTTCCTGAGCTTGCGCGCCCAAACAGCTAGTACCGAACACACAGATTCCCCGCAGTATTGGCCACAAGCCACCACCTAAACCTCTCAGGGTTCAGGGTTCAGGGTTTATGGAGCCCTAAACCCTAAACCGTAAACCCTAAACCCCAAAACCCAAACCCCAAACCCCAAACCCTAAGCCCAAACCCTAAACCCTCAACCCTAAACCCTATCCACAGACCTGGGGCTTTCAGGCCACGAAAGGAGCCCAGCCAGATGCCGGCGCGGGTGCTCATCGTGCCCTCGCTGTCGCGCAAGGAAGCTCGTCAACCTCTGCAGTTGGCCCCTTAGGGTTGAGGGTTGAGGGTTGAGGGTTGGGGGTCGAGGGTTGAGGGTTGAGGGTTTAGGGTTTAGGGCTGAGGGTTGAGGGTTGAGGGTCGAGGGTTGAGGGTTTAGGGTTTAGGGTTTAGGGCTGAGGGTTAATTCAGGCGCATGTTTCCCCCTTATACTAATCCCTATTAAGGACTGCTGGTATGAGTGGGCACATCCCGACCCTAAACCCTGAACCTCAATCCCTAAACCCTAAACCCTAAACCCTAAACCCTAAACCCTAAACCCTAAACCCTAAACGACCTTGCGCCGCATCCCTTGGGCCTTAGGACCCGCAGAGCTCTTCAAGACTTGGGATGATGGAGCCGAATCGAACAGGAACCCAACATCGAACACTTGCAGACATGCCGTTTAGAATATCAGCTTGTTAGGGGGGTACCTTATTGGGGTCCTAATAAGGGAAACCCTAAACCCTAAACCCTAAACCCTAAACCCTAAACCCTAAACCCTAAACCCTAAACCCTAAACCCTAAACCCTAAACCCGGTCTATATTGGGGGTCCCCAACGTAAACTCCCATATCTTTTGGAATTAGCTATGCCACCACCAGCTCTGGGATGGTGAAAGAGACCGTCATTTAGATGTGGGTTTAGGGTTTAGGGTTTAGGGTTTCGGGTTTCGGGTTTAGGGTTTAGGGTTTAGGGTTTAGGGTTTGGGGTTTGGGGTTTGGGGTTTGGGGTTTGGGGTTTGGGGTTTGGGGTTTGGGGTTTGGGGTTGAAAGGATCTGGTTTAGGGCTTAGGGTGTATGAGACATAAAAGTCGCAATAGCCCTCTTGGTAGAGCTACGACAATTAC